TATAAATTGCAATATTAATAAATGTAATTAAAATTTAAATTAGTAAAGTTATTTTTATCTGTTATACGTTGTTGGACTGCCAATCAGCTAGAAAACTTAAAAATGTTAGTATTTGCAAAGTAAAGAAATATTTTAATTCATTAGCAAGAATATAAATAAATGTCCGACGAGAAGAAACATGTAGTCTAATAAGTAATTGTAGTTATGTATTGTCTTTTCTTCAAAGATAAAATTTGATTTAGTACTAAACTAAAAAAAGATGTTTTACATTAAAAGAGAATCAGTAAATTATGTATATAATTATAATTTTTATTAATTAATACAATAATAATATAACAATTGCTACTTGCTTAATAAATATTCAGTGATTGAAGAATGATATAACGGTACTGCTTGCAAAGTCAGGGAGTTGGCGTTATCAATTCGTACTACGACATAATCGCCAGCCTGTATCTGCCTTGTTGTAATGGAGTGTTGAGCAATGGGAATAGCTGCGGATGGTAGTATAACTATCACATTACCGTCATTTCTACCTTGTAACTTTTGATCAGATCTCTTGCTCACCTGCCAATAGAACATACACATCACTATAAAATTTATTGTTCCTATTTTTAAATAATGCCAAAAGTAAAAACATATGATGTACGCCTCTATAAAACATAAGATTAAAGTGTTTACAGATGGAAAGAAAGACAGGATAAAAAAATTTAAAAAAAATGGATACTGTTTTTTTTTCTAGTAATATGTACACATGCAATAATAAGATTGAAAAAATGCTTACGCCCTCCACGAGAACGAGTTGATGTTGCCCTATCTGTGCTCTATTTAATTTTTCTGCTTCTTTTCTATACAGCGCAGTCATGCGATTTAGACGGTCCATCTTTACGTGTGGTTCAACGTCGTCCTTGTAACGTCTATGTGCTGTAGTTTTCTACAGAATATTAAAATATTTATGTATAATTATAAATAATTTATAAATTTTAATAAATTATTAAATTTATTTATATTTAATATGAATTGTCCAAGAAGATTGTACATCATAAGAATTATACCTCACGCATGCTATAGGCGAATAAATATGCGTTGTTGTATTTAACTTCTTCTATTAGCGATAACGTATCTTGAAACTGCTCCTCGGTCTCGCTACAGAATCCGGCAATAAAATCGCTGGAAAAGTATACATTTGGAAGAATATCACGTATATGATACACCAAGTCTAAATACGCTTCCCTGGTGTATCCTCTTCGCATTCTCTCCAAAACCGTAGAGTTGCCGCTCTGAGCAGGTAAGTGAATCTGCTTACAGATGTTAGGTCTTTCGGCTATCAAGTGCAACACCTCATCGGGAAAATCCTTGGGATGAGGCGATGTAAATCTGGAAATTACCATATATTAGTATGCAAAGCTAATTGAAGGGATTTAATGCTGATCTATAGATTTATACCTTATTCTTATTTCTGGATTAATTAAAGAAACTTTGTCTAGAAGATCGCTAAACCTTAAACCGCCTTTCTTATTCTTATAAACCGTTTTGAAACCTTTAGCGAGTTGGGTCTCCTTGTTAGCTGATAAGACAAATTCCGATTCCGATAAATCTCTGTAGCTATTCACATTTTGTCCTAAGAGAGTTATTTCCTTCACACCTTGATCCGATAATTGACGGACTTCGTCAAATATGCTTGCAATCGGTCGTGATCTCTCTCTCCCTCTCGTAAACGGTACGATACAGTAAGTGCACATGTTATCGCAACCTCTCATTATAGAACTGCAAATTACAGATACATAAAACTAAAGAGCTGAAATAAACTTTATACATACGGAATATATTTTTAAGTATGTATATACGTTACATATATGCCCCAGTGGAGTCCTGATTGAGTCTAACTGGCATGACATCCGCATACGTTTCATCAAATGATAATACGACATTAACGGCCGTTTCATTGTCCGTTACCGCCAGAAGCCTTGGTAAATCCTTGTAACTATCAGGACCCGCTATTACATCTACGAGCTTTCCTCTGTCTAATATTTTTGTCTTTAAACGTTCGGCCATGCATCCTATTGCAAACATTTATTCTTATAGAAGATAAGTCACTTAGTTGAGAGCCTGATACTATCAAGTATTAATTAAGCTTGCCTAAGAGACCAATCTTCATGGACGATCCAATCATCCTCTTTCTTTTCTTCCTCACGCCATTCAAGTGCTCCAACTTGTGCCATATCTTCTGCTCGGCGCTGTCCCTGATGGAACAGGTGACGAGCAATACAATATCCGCGTCGTCCAAACACCGGGTATGTTTGTAGCCATGCGATTTCAGCACCGACCATATTATATCGGCATCGTTTACGTTCATTTGGCAACCGTGAATGTCAAAGTACACTAACACAAACGGAAAAGGTAAAGATAATGATTTCGAAGCACGAGGACAATCGCTAAATCTCCTAATTAGATATCTGAGAAACCTTTTTGATTCTCGCCACGAATATCCTGTAGATATGGAACAGGCTTTTCACTGGGAATATCGATAACAGATGGGCTCAAGAAGTCCCTCAAGGAGGGTCCGTCTCTGATATTCTTCACTGGTTTCTGATCTACAGCTCGTTCGATTGCACCTGCATTAATCGCTGACACGTGCGAAGGCACGGGAATTGTTCCGTGGATCGCGCGGCACGCTCGCAGCCGCTGAGGATCCGCATATTTCCGTTGTAGCAAATATTTTCTGAAGCAGTTTCTGTAATACATCCCTCTCGACATGTTGAGACTGAATCGAACGTTGACTCTGGAATTAAAATTTGGAAATGCCAAGCGTTGAAAAATACGACAAAGATATTGTGTTGTCGAACGTATTTGATAAATACCTGTGGATGTTAATACGTTAACCACTCCCGGTCAATCAATTGATTTTCTTGCGGCTGAGTCGAGCGCAGTCGAGCGGCTTATAGGTTATGCCATGGGTTATGCAAGGTCAGGGAAGTCGGCGCGGCCGGCGGCGCCGGCGCGCACTGCGCCAGGAATCGGATCGGGAATATTGGGATAGCCGGGAGCAGTAAGCAGTACCATCATTAGAAATTAAATAGAAAAGGAGAAAAGATGAACGATATTCAGCCACGAAGTTTTAAGGTGCCTTTTCATGCTGACGCTCGACGCTCATTTTCAGCGGCAAGAAGGTCGCATGACCACAATTGACGCCGGCGTCAATTGAAATTCATGAAAAGGAAAACAGCGTCAAAATTTCGGCGTCTTCGCGCTGCTTTGGCTTTGACGCTTGAAGTTGGAAAAATCCAACTTCTCTTTCTTGACGCTGGCATCATAGTGATGTCACGTGACGTCGCTCAACGCTGTTTTTCAGCGTCCCATGAATTGGCACCTTTAAAAGCATTTGTAGCGTCAAATGGACTGCTGCAACTGCTGCAGTGAGCAGTCGCAACATGGTGGCTATATACTCCTTGTTCAATCGAAAATTTGCGCCAAATAAAAATTTCTTTTACCATATCAAATATAATTTAAGAATAATGTCCAATTAAGCGTTCGACGTATGTATTTCCCGACGGCAAGATGTAAAACGTGTAAACTATAATTTGATTATATTTTATTGGATATAAAAAATGCGTTATTACGTTACGTATCTTTATTTTATATATTTGACATAACTTTTTACATTATATTTATTATATATATAGGTACCTACTAAAACATATAGATTTGAATAAAGTGTGCTTGAAATTAAAAAATATATTTTTTTCTTTCAATAATACATGAACACAGCATCTTTTTTGAGATAATAATTTTCGACCTTTTATCTTTTTTTTTATTTAAAATTTTTACCTATAAATGGACATTTAAAATTTTCATTTATTCATATGGTATAAATGGAAATTTATGAATATTTATTCATATTCCATATAGTACAGATAATTTCTTTAACTATTCAAAAGAGTCGTCCCGCCATGAGGCAACACCCTCGCTCAGAATACCTCCGTCAACCTCCTTGCCTAACATGCTAGCCTGATACTTTTGCCGATTTAAACGGAGTTTTCGACACCGAGAATCGCCATTTTCATCTAACGGGCCATTTTAATATGTACTTTCAACCACTTTTATGATCTATTGTGCACCTCTACGATACGTGATCAAATTCTTCTAATTGTTTAATTTTAACCTATTATTGAAATATAAAAAATTTCTGTTGTTATTATATTCATTAATTTATATAATATTCCTTTAAATTACAAGGGCGCGCAAAACGCTCCAAGAGACGTTAGAAAACAATAAAAGTTAATAGAAAAATTAATTCGGATGATAAAGTAGGCGAAACTCAGGTTTCGCACAGCGAAATCTCAGAAATTTACTCCTGATGTATCAGGCTAGCATGTTAGGCAAGGAGGTTGACGGAGATATTCGAGCAGCGGCACGCCTACCCCCACTATTACCCATCGCCATATTGGAACGGCGCCGAGCGCGCGACGAGGATGGCCAGCCTACAACCTACGGCCAATCAGAGCGCTGGCAGGTATGCATAGGAGGGGCAGTGGGCCCCCGCGCTCTGACCAATACCAGCGTGATTACGAGGAGGCAATGTGGGGAGACAACACCCGCGCGGCGCGGCGCGCTCGGAATACCTACTGCCACCTCCTCGCTCATCATGCTTTGCTGATACATCAG